GATCCAATTACAACACAGACTGTTTTGAATGAAATAAGGTGTCAAATTGAGCACCATACAAGGATCCTTGCATTTTTGTCAGAATTGTCCCAGTTTCTGCTACAGCTCATTCTTATGCATTTCATTTTCTTCTCAGAACAACATGGAAGCTGTGCTGATGAGAAGAGCGCCCTCGCCTCCTTCAATGAGGAGAGAAGCAAGATGGAGGACAAGATCTTATGGGACTTCCCAGATATGGTTCATGAGAATGCCAAGGAGAGGAAGTAACTCAGATAGATGCCAGTCCTCGCCTCTGTCACTGAGGAGGAACAGTTTCCAAGATTGCATGAAGGATCCTCGTCAGAGTCTTAGGCATTGATTCACAAAAAGGCAAGGAAAGGACTCAATCTTCTCAGAGATGCAGTTCCTCGCTTCCACCTTAGTGATGGAGCAAGTCTATCTGCATCTGTACACTACTCAAAAGGATCAAAGGATCAGAATTAAAAAAAAAAAGACTCACTTTGTAACGTGTGAGTGTCACTTAATGCGGTTGTGTTCTGGCTACAAAACAAGACAAACTTATTGGTTCCAGTCCAATGCAAACTTTCTCTCCAGAGTACTGCATTCTCGTGACACTGAAGAACACTTAGATCAGCACCTTGTCCAGGTCTCCTACACAGCCCTAAAAATAATGGTATTGGGGAGAAATTGAGTTAGAATGATATCCTGGTAATGTGAGGGCGCTATTTTTGATTCTGAAATTATTACAGCTGAGAAATGATGCACTTCCAAGATACTGTATGCATCACAATGTGAAAAAAATTACTGTTGAGACCTTTTTATTAGAAAAATAATGCATACATCTGTCCCACATACAGACGTATCTGATGTCTGATCCCTGATTTTTTTTGAGTAGTGTATATTGGTATACGGTACAATGCTGCTATAATGAACAGGGCAGGGTCCATAGGCAATGCTTGGTGAAGCGTACCTCCCAACTGGTCCGATTTCAGTGGGTGATATTTCAAAGGCCTAAAAATTGAAGCGTTCCAATTTCTGTAAAAAAAAGGGTGAAAAACATTACTTGCTAGAGGGCGCTATTTGCTATATCATAAAAATGGTAGTTCTGATTTCTGAATTCTCAATGTTGAAATCTTGGCTTTCGAGTCATTATCATCAGTCCTAAATTCGTTTGTTTAAATTTAAACCAATTTTCGATGTTCAGTAAAAGTGCATGGAAAATTTGGGAGCCAAGGGGTACATGCATGTTCCGTATACCCAGTTGGTCAGCCAAGTGACGTACTTTATTCTTGACTTAAGAGGTACTTTTGTACACTCAGTACAGTCAGATAATTGATCAGGTTGCTTGGAAACAAAACTACTGTTCACAAACTAGGTTATTAACTGACGTATCATATTGCATCTACTCTCATATCTATGCACATTTAAAGCTGTATTCCACAAATTCCTATGATGTAAATGTACGAAAAATTTATTACCATTTGGAAAGACTGTAAATTGTTGATAGTAAGGACTCGCATGAAAGTTTGTAACTATTGCATGCTTTTAAAAATTGAATGGTAAATTCACATCTCCATTTCCTGTTCAGGCAGCCAAAATACCAGCACTGTTCAGTCAACCTAGAGGCTATTCTGAACCTCACTTTAACAAGTTTTTCCTCGGACAAAATTCTATGTGCATTATGTATTTTCCAAGTTGTACATACACATTGCGAGAGCATTAGACAAGAAGTCTTTACCTGAAAATCATAACAGAACTGCATGTCACAAACTGTCGGCTCAGTGCTCAAAAATGAATTGATGTAAAAAATGTTATTTTTGAAAATATGGCCTTACTCTCAGCTTGAAAAAATACTTTAATGAAACAAACATTTTGTAAAAATGCCAGTCATAAAACCTTTTTTTTTGGCAGCTGCCACTTCACTTTCAATTAATTTTTGTAATCAAATTGATGATTACAGCAGTATTTTTCGATAAGCAACTTTTAGCACTGACACAAAATTTGTTTGGTTCGAAAATATTGCCTTGCAAAAATGCCTTTGTGTGTACATGGAACAATCATGTTTATTGCTGTGACCATTTAATTTCTATTTGCAAGTGAAATAAATGTTTGTTCATTTAAATTGAACAACTTTTGTTTGTATACTCTGTTTGTGAAAATGTAGTACTTTGCCACTTAGCCCTTCCACCAAGCTTAGCCATTTTACATTGCCAGAATTGCATCTGTTTCCAATCTTTAGATTTTACATTGCAGCCTCACCTTAAGCCCTGCCAGTCTGAAACATCTTCCAAGCTCCTTATATAAAGTTCCCCCTTAGAGCCTTTTAGTCTCAATCTTATAAGGGCTACAATAAACCCACTAGCAATAATGAAGCTATGTCCTTCAACCCCATGGAATCCTCAGAGCTCTAATACTGATAGTCCCAAGCCCTCAGCCATCCACTCTACCCTTCCTATCAGCTCTCAGACTTCCAGCCCCTAGGCCTTCCACCCTTGCCTATCTCTAGTACACAGTTTGCCTGAAAAATATTCTAAGTCCAAACAATGGAAGGTTTAACATTTAGAAACGAGCACATTTCTTCAAGAAAGTGCCATGGCATAGTGGTTAAGGACACTAACTGCAATGCACAAGGACCTGGGTTCAATTCCAGGTGGGCATGCACAATTTTGTTAAAAAACTTAGTATATAAAAAAAAAAAAAAAAAAACCTCTTTTTACTGGGGACCCCGGGATTTGAACCGGGATCCCCTGGCCTGACAGCCAGCTAGCTGACCACCAGGCCACAGGCCTCTTGATAGATATAAATTCGGAACTTATATTTAAAGGTTAGGATTGCGCAATTTCAAAAAAGGTCATAGGGCACACGTTATCTACATATATTTAAATAAGAAAAGCAGAAATTTGAATATGCCAAATATGGAGAATAGACAGAATTTGCATGAACTTCAGTATGTAGTAGGTCCACAATATATTTGCAAGCCTTTCTGTTCTCAAACCTCTTCAAAATATCCATGTCGACATGTAAATTATGTTTCGGTCACAAAAAAATTCAACTGTGTTTGTAGAACATTTGAGATCGAGATTCTGCAGACTGAAATTTCAGGGCATTTACATTTTAACTTTTTGGGACATATTTAAGGAAAATTATTTGGTAGTAAGCCTCTTAGTCTATCTTGCTCTAAACTTTCGAGGAACACGATGGTCATTACAGGTACCAGCTTTATTTTGAATAAGAAAATTGTACAATCTGGAAAGGAAAATTATGCAT